AAAAAAAAAAAAAAAAAAAAAAAAAGTACCTCAGAATAACCTGGAAACAAATTCTTCAGTCAGCCTATACTTTTGATCTTCTAAAATATAGCTATGTCGGGCCGGCCCGGTGGTGCACTGGATAAGTGCGCCGCTTGGGAAGCGCGGCAGCGCTCCCGACCGAGGGTTTGGATCCCACATATAGACCGGTTCCCGCTCACTGGCTGAGCGAGGCGCGGGAGCAACACCGAGGGTTGCAATTCCGTTGCCGGTCCCCAGTCCGGTACGGGGGCAACACTGAGGGTTGCGATCCGTTGCCGGACACGGAAAAAGACAAAAAATAAAATAAAATAAAATAAAATATAGCTATGTTTATACAAACATATGTAAAGTATATTATCCCATAAAATTTGTGACTATGCATATGGCTCTGTATATTTTGACAGTCTGGGAGTAAAAAATTTAAAACTCCAAATGATTTTCATGAGTAGTACACACTAGTGAACATGCATAATTTTTTTAACTTTTAATCTGTGATTCAAATAAGCATCAACGTTGATGCAGGAGATAGAAGTATATTTTGTTGTACATTTCTGTACATGTATAATGGGTGAGGACTTATTGGTGTTTATTTCCACCTATTTCTTAGATGGAAATCCATGCTTTAGTTAAGTTGGGTTGCATTGCACCTTCTTTGCTCTTTGTTCCTTGTGAATTTGGCCTTCTGTGTTATAATGTTTTAATCTGAATACTTCCCTTTCCTCATGTCTTACATCCAGAAGAGGTCGGCTGTGATCTCCCCTGATAGTACATGTTTTGGTCATGGATCATTTTAGGCTCCTTGGCATCTTTAATGTTCAGCTGTCCATGAGCGGCTTCAGGTTTTTTTTATTTGTGAGGAAGATTAAAAATCAGAAGCCTTCCATGTGACTAATCAGCAGCCTGCTGCCATTCTTGAGAATTCTGATAATCTTTGACACCCAGGGATTATGACCCTTCTTTGGATAGTACTGAGACACTCAGAAGTCGTCCAACTTGGAGCATTGTTTAGCAGTGGGAGCACTTGGTTGTAGTTAGCGGGCCAGAGTGAGCTATAAATAAATAAAATCCTACAGTGCCTGCTTCCTTCATTCAGGGTAGTCTGCTGATAAGATGCAAGCATCTGGCAGAAGAGAAGATTCTCAGCAGGTTTAAGTGCTTACCAATGTGCTTTCCTGTATCCATGGCTCAGCTTCTAGTTTGTGCTGTGTTATTGTGGCACTCTAGACTTGTAAGATTGGAGAGCCTAGTTTAAAACTCTCAATATATCATTAGGGTGGCCCAAGGTCTGTTCTTGTCAAGGAAAGACTAGCTGATTCCAGGGGGAAGGAAAAGCAGAATCCAAGGCACCTGTAAATCCCTGTAGTTTTGTGCTGTGGGTTTGTAGCTAATTATACAGCAGGCAATAGTAATAAGCTGTAGCCCTGTCACTGTACTTGTTTCAGAAAGAGCAAAATCAGAAAGAGCAGAGCAAAGAAGGGGCTTTGGAGGGGCTGCAAATGAATGAAGCAATGATCATTTTATTGTAAACTAAAGCTCTGCAGTAGAATCAGGGCATCTGAAGTGGAAGGAAGTGAAGGGGGAGATGCCAGTAGAAATACAGTGTTCAGATGTGTTTTACAGCTCTTGATTTGGATTCTCCTGCAGAAATACAGTCACTCAAGGAGACCACCACTGGCCTCAGCCCAGTCAAATTGCTCTTTCTCTTATGGTACTGCTGTTACTGACTGCTAGTAGGTTATTCAGCCGACCTCTTCTGATTCTGCTTTGCTGCCTGATTTCAAAAGATTTGCCCTATACTGGCTCTCAGTCACAGCTTGATGTAACCACTGCTTGTTTGCATGCATCCCCATCATTTTCATATAGGGTCTTTTTTCTTCAAGTTAAAAGGCAAAAGAATCAGGATCATTTTTTTGTGATAAAAGATTTATGTAGGGTTAGCTAGACTCAAGCAAAATGAAATTCAGCTGCAAGGGATGGTAAAAAGGCCCAGAGAAGTTGTGATTGCCAGAGAAGTCAGTGTTTCTTAAATTAAAGAAGGTTCAGCTAGCAGGCAGCAACTCTGACTTTACATTCATATTGAAGCAGGCTCTCTAGCCATTCTGGGCAGGCAGATCAATAAAATCAGGGGTGACTTAATGCCAACAATCTCAGAATTCAATGGACTTCTCTTGTCCTTCTTTAAAATCTATATTGATGTGGAATGCTAGCTTTAGCAGCTGAGATGAGAAAAAACCAGGTCTAGATTCTGGTTTATGACATCATATTGAACAATGTCCTTGGAAAGCATACTCTTTTGTTTCTCAGTTATCACATCTGTAAAATGGAGCTAATATTCCAGAAGGAGAGTGGTTCCAATATTTATCAAAACATTGTAAATGAAGATTCAAAATAATAAGAACTTTGAAGAACCCAACAGAAGATTATGAAAAGTGAATTGATATCCCATTTATGTATTTAAAAATATTGTTGATTGCCTTATCAGAGATTGAGCAATTTGACTATTTTTGCATGATGAGTAAGCATTGAAATGTGGTAAATTTTATTTTGTTTTGTTTTTAGTTAGATAAATGGAATATTTGACTCATATAGAATCTCTTCCTCGGTTTATTTTTGTACAGACCACAGGTCTAGCTTTCTGGTGTATCACAATAGTGTGCAGTATGCCACATTTTTCATATTTTTAAATTGATCGAATAGCCCCTGTATAGGATAACAAAATATGTAAATGGTCATTATGGACATGGCTAAGTATTTCCCTGCTCATCTCCCCTATGGCTCCACAGATTCTAACTCTACCAAAGAGGATAAACTGGCTCTTAAATTTACTTCTTACATGATTGACTTGGGGCAATTCATTTAAAAACTGGACATGTTGGGAGTTTTTGGTTTTTACCCCATACTGTAGATGGTACGTAATTCCTATAATAAAGCAGCAGGGGGCACCCTATGAGAGCTTCAAAATTGCTGATGGAGAAGTGTTGGCTTTTTGTTAGTGGTGGTGGTCTTTTCAATTCTGGCTTTTTTTCTACTGAAAACTTGGCCCTCATGAGACTGTTTTATTAGTTTAAGAAATTGGTTGAGTTGAGAGATTACACTGGTTTCTAACCAAAAACTTGGATGAATGGAACCTGAGAATGCTTTGGTTAAAGGGTTCATATCTCTGAACTGAGATTCATGGTAAGAGACTGTGCCAGGTGCCTTCTTTCTTTAGAATCCTTTATATCTTAAAAGGAAGACTTTCCCATATTCTCATTAGCATCTGCAGTTAGTTTTCTGTTCAGCTACACCTCCCTGTGCTGTAGAATCCGTGCATTCTTTTTATGTATTGATGAGGGCCAAGTGCATTATAACTAAGGATTTCTTGTAAAATAAAACACATTCTTCTGAGTGAGAGGCGCAAGGAATCCAAGCAGCAAAGGTTCAGGTTTTTTCACTCAGAGGTTGCTCTTGCTGCCTTATGAATTCACTCTGTGATACAGGTTTGATGCAAAGAGCATTGCTACTCACAAATCACACGATGTATACAGTTTGTGTGCAGCGATATGTCACAGCTTTTTATTTATATGGCCAGCTCAGTCTATTCTGCTTCTTTCACTGCCATGAAAAGTGCATCATTTTCCTCCCTCTGTCTTCCTTCCCACATATCATCAGCACCACCCACTATGTTCTGCCCATTAAGTCCTCTGTGTGCCAGAAAACCCCAACAATGATTAAATGCTGATAAAAGAATGTTAGAAGGTTAAGATATCAACCAATCAACACCCTTACAATACCCCTAAATTGTGGGTGGTAAGTATAACATTGCCCTTTTAACATTGAAAATAAGAGTTCTCTGATTCTTCTTTAGTTGAGGAAATGACTGACACCAAATTTTTTTAAAAAAAGAGTTAGTGGCAAAGACCAGAGAGAATGCAGGAGACTTGCTTTGCAGTTTCCCATTCTTCTCCTTATCTTTCTTTCTTATTTTGACACATTCTTTGTAAGGAAGTTCTAAGGCTAGCCAAATTGAGGTAAGGTTTATATTTATGAGAGGCCTAGAGTTTTTAAGCTAACAGCAATTTTTAAAAAGTATTATTACCCTAAACGCATTTAATTAAAAAGTATTAATTAATTTGACAAAGCATACCACTCTAGTCATCGAATCATTTATCATTACATTCCTGCATGACTTTCAGTCCCTTTAAGCTCCTATAGTACAGAGTACACAGCCCTACCCCATGGGAGGAAAACCATGGTTGAAGAGACTTATGACAGGTAACTGAGAACCCAGATTACTGTATTTTTTTTTTCTTTGGAGGAGAATTCATAGGTCCATCACATATCCTAGAAAGGCAATTAAGTTAGGAGGAGTTGTGGAGTCAACTTCTCTGGACCTCCTATTACACTTTTAGTAATAGGAACAAGAAAGAAGGGTCTCTAAGAATCTTGTCAAGAATTATATTTCGTGTTGAAGCTTACTTAAGGTAATGTGCCATACCATATATAGCTTAAATTAATTTTTGCCAACCTTTGTTTTGTCACTACTCTGGATTATTTTTTGGTAACAGAGTTATTAAAAAAAATTCATGGTAAATACATTTCTGGCATTTCCATTAGCAGCTGCTGTGGTGAGGTAGGTCACCACCTGTCTCTTTCTGGCATCCTGGGGGTTGAAGGGTAATGAGCACTTAATTATATTTGCTGAATTCCAGAGCTGCCAAACTGGAGCTCCTCACAACTGGTCTGTATCTGCTCTGACAATTCTTTTATTATGGCTTTTACTAACCAATCAGTAACTAACTGTGGTTGTTTAATTACAGAGGGAACATCCCCACGCTAAACAGGTACCGTATGTTTAGTTTCTTTTCCAATTAAAAGCACCTTTTTTGTAACTTAGAATAGTGAAACCAGGAAAAAATAACACTATACTTGACAAGCTAATGTGTTATCTTCTGCTAGGGAGTCCCGAGCTCACCTTCGGACATACTAAATTATTCTTTCCATTTGGAAAACATGTCTTCAGCTTTTCTTCACCTGTTCAAAAAGCAATAGCTGAAAAGCCTCAATATGGAAAAGCTCCCATCAAGCCTTATACAATAAGGGGTTTGTTTGTCTGATGTTCAGTTTTGCTGGAAACATCTTCTTCTGCTAAATTCTTTGTCTAATTTGGGGCTTTCAGAGGAGAAACCCTTAAGGTTACTCCTATCCTGGCAAATTGTTCACAATTTTCTCAATTTTAGTTTCTCTAATTTGCTTCTCCTTTCATAGGAGTGCAAATCCAGAAATAGCTGATCTCATGTTTTATCAGTCTGTTAGCTATTTTTCTAAAGTGTTAAAGTGTTATGATATGAAAGTCAAGTTTTGTTTTAGACCTATGTAGACTAACATTGGAAAAGTGTAAGTTTTGATGTGTTAAGCGCTGTGAAGAGATTTCCAGGCCAATGTAGCATAAGTGATATTTTAGTACTTTGAGTTCTTTCTGCTTTCTGAGCCAAGCAAGACAACACAATGCAAGTTTGAGAGGATAGCAATTCTGATTGGAATTGAATCCACAAAATGCTAAAGCAGTAATAAATAGGTTGGTGGCAAACTCTTTTTCGATGATCAGTTACACATGGAAATATTTATAGGTTTACATTTATTTTGTCCCTCTCCCTTTAAAATATTAACTTATGATCAAAACTGATCATAGCTTCTAGAGCCCAGTTTGGATGTGTAGAGAAAAGGCAGTGCTTTTATTTGGTCCTCTAGTCTTCCTTTGGAGAGTGGGCTTGGTTCATTCCTGCCTGTCTTTAGCTGCCCTGGCCCATGTGCCTGCTAGTGGGGGAAAATGAATATTACATATTTCCCATGGGGTTCAGTTGAGTGAAAAAGATACTTAACCCCATGTTTGCCACAAACACAGCCTGTCAGCTTATTCAGAGGAAGTTCCCTTTAAGTGTTATATGGAACCCATTTATCTTTTTTTGTCTAATGCCAGGCAGGTAGGAAAGATAAGATGCCTCACAAACTTGCTTCATTAGTAAGTATATTTGGTGATCCTAGAAAAGAGGAGGATGATAGCATTACTGAGTTAATATGACTCTGAATCCCAGTTTCTAGCAAGCACCATGTGTAAGACTTGCTTGATGTATGTTTCATTTGTTTGTCTCATTCATGGTATCAATGGTTTCCTCTCCCACTCTGCCTTTCTATTCCTCAGTACTGACAAAAGATGAAATACCTTTTCCATAGTCATCACTTGCCAAAGGAATAAAAACCTGGAGTGTCAGTCTCTATAGTCTGTGTGAGCACCACTCCCATCCTATAAAGAATTCCATTGCCTTGTATAATTATGATTTGCAACAGGGTACAATATGTACCCAGGTCTCAAGTTCATATTGCCATGCCTCTTCTCCCTGCAACACTGCAGGTGGTGTATTTCAAGGAGATTTTTTTGGGCAGTTCTCCAAAGTTCAGGTGATATTGCCTTGATCTGAATTTGCTTCAGATTAGTATGCCAGTAACATGTCAGGCAAGTCTTGGAGGCATTCTTTAGCTTGGTCCTTCCTAACAGGCTGGCCTGATTGGGCATTCAGAAATACTTCACAGTATTATTTATCAGTCTATACTGCATCAAAAAATATACAGATTCGTTATGATTTTAGAGTGAACAAATTAGTTCATTTCTCTTTAAGCATCTCATTTAGCAACTGTTTGTCATGCTTACACATACTTTGAGACCCATGCTCTATCTACCCTTTTGTATCTTGCTGAAAATTATGAACGGCTTTCAAGAAGATATTTTTGCTTTGGTATAGATTTGGGGCTGAAAAATGTCTCTTTTTCAAAAAGGGAAAACTATAATCCTAGTAAGTATCCCTATAACCCATTAAAGGAAAAAGTAAATACCTCAGTAAAGGTCCTTTTATGGACTGTGACTTATTTCTGTACCATAAATAATGTTTTTAATAATGATTTACTAAACCATTCCAGATGACTTACTTAGAATTGTTGTTTTACATACATAAATCCTCCTTTCTCTCTATGTATCTGTGAATACTTGATCTGTTACAGTTCCTAGAAAAAAAAAATACCTTAAGTGTTGCATAGTTACAACTCACTTGGCTTGCTTACTTCCTTTTAAAGGGGGGGAATGTTTTAGGGAGGGGGAAGATGCAGGATGGTTTTTAACCCCTATGTGCTGTTCATTTATTAGACATATATTTTTGTATCAAAATTGCCATAAAATTTCTGACAGTCTGTATGTTTCTATTTGAAGAAATTTTGGAGTGATGAAAATATAGTTTGTATGGGGAAATTGAAGAGAAAGAGTTAACATGAATTTAGCAAGACTACCTTATCCATAGTGGGTAAAAAACCAAATCTGCTCTGCAACCTGACCCTACTTCAGAGTTTTCTCATAGCTCATTTTCCCTGCTGTTACTCTCCCAATCCTTGTTGCTACCTTCCTGTCTAATTAATTTGATTGAATTACCATTTAGAATGTCCTTCTCCTCCAACCTCAACCACTATGGCATGACTCATGTAGCTAGTGTCAGCGATGTACTGTTGGACAACTCATTCACTCCACCATGTCAGCGGATGGGTGGAATGGTCTCTTTTCGAACTTTTGAAGATTTTGTCAGGTAAGACATTGTGTAATTGAATCTGTACAAGGGAAGCCCTGGTCCTCTCTGTTTTGGCATCTCAGCTTTGTGCAGAATGAATACAGGTCTCCAGAATAGCCATGATCTAACTAAGGAGATGTAGCCCTTGTCATATACACCCTCAGAGAGGTATATATCCTCCCATTTCCACCTCTCATTCAGACTCTACAAGCCTCTACTTGTAGTCTGAGCCTGGTCAGAAAAAAAGAAATAAACAAAAATCTTCTTTTCCTTACGAGCTAACAGAAGAAGCTGTCTGCTCTGTGATGAGTGAAATGTCAGGAGAAATTAAACACAACACTCTAGTGAGCCCCACCAGAGACGATACATCTTTTGATTAAATGCATTCAGCATCTATCTCTTGATGTATAGTGATGCATTACCCTAGGGGGAGGGGTAATTACATTGGTCTGTCACTGCTTTAGTACCAGGCTCTTTCTGTTACTTTAAAGACCGATGGTGACAGCAGTGCTCATATCTTACATATGAGAAAACAAAACAAAGCTTTAGATCATTCTTTTTTTTTTTTTTTTTTTTCCTTTTTTTGTCTTTTTTTCGTGTCCGGCAACGGACCGCAACCCTCAGTGTCGCTCCCGCACTGGACCGGGACCGGCAACGGGATCGCAACCCTCGGTGCTGCGTCCGCGCCTCGCTCAGCCAGTGAGCAGGAACCGGTCTGTATGTGGGATCCGAACCCTCGGCAGGAGCGCTGCCGCGCTCCCAAGCAGCGCACTATAGCAGTGCGCCACCGGGCCGACCCTAGATCATTCTTTTTTAAAAAGAAAAAATATATATGGTTTATTAAAGTTTAAAGAATCCATCCTCCTAATTTCTGCCACTTGGTAAAATTTTGCATGTCACCTCTAGCCACTGGTGATTCTATTCTGTTGACTATTGAGCACAGGGCAGGATAGATTATTCTTTTAGACTGAGCTGGCAATGGCAGCATTAGTTTCCTACCACTTAGGTTTTCTGCTGCTTGAGTTTTCATGGTACGTGTTTCTCTGGTATTTTTCAGGATCTTTGATGAAGTCATGGGCTGCTTCTGTGACTCTCCACCCCAAAGCCCCACATTCCCTGAGGCAGGTCACACATCTCTATATGATGAAGACAAGGTATAGTGTCCCTCTTGGGGGATTGCTTTGTTCCTTCAGACATGGGACTTGTACTATATACTATCTTTCTGACTTTGGAACATTATAGGGAGGAATTCATCTTTTTACTCTACTTTATATTATTTAATTTTGTATACCTCATCAAAGTCTTTTTTGGAAATAGATGGAATATAAATTCTAACTTAAAAAAAACCCATTTAATCTTGGAATCCATACTGTGGAATGGGCTTAGCTATACCCATCGCTACTGCCTCTGGGTATCTGAATGTTATCTTAAAGATCTGAGCTTTGGTTGCTGGGATTCTTACTTAATGATGCCTTGTGTCTTTGCATAGTGGTGCTATCGTAGTCCTCAGGGAATGGTGGACTTTAGATTGCAGAAAAAACAGGCATTTTATTTAAAACTTTGTCCTTTTAGTAAATCCCTTCTTTTAATTTTGCACTAAACAAATTGTTCTGTTCTTTCTCTCCATTATTTTTCCATGGTTTGATACTTCCATTGTTTGATAAATTGTAAGGAAATATATTATGTGAGAATATATTATGGTGGCTTCTGTCATTTTTCATCATGTCTGTGAAGAGATGTGACATATGGTTTCACCCCCATTTTATTGGTGAAAAAGTTGAGACATAGTGATCTTCAAGTTCTTGTCAAGTCATATTTGGGGCCACCTCTACCTAATGTCTTTGCTGCATTTTAAAATTTATATACTTTACATTATTTAATGTCTGTTGTGGCTATTGGGCAGTGGTTTCAATTTGCCTGTTCTTATTGGTGGGCAAACCAAAACATCCTCTTTTTCAGATATTCTACCAAGTACTTCTCCCTGCCTGTGTGTTAGCCATCCTCATCATTTCTTTGGCTTGTGTTCTTGGTTACAGGTCCCCAGGGATGAACCAATTCACATTCTGAATGTGGCTATTAAGACTGACTGTGATATTGAAGATGACAGGCTGGCAGCTATGTTCAGAGAGTTTACCCAGCAAAATGTAAGTCCTTGATTGGATGGAAGCTGGTGACGTCCCCTTTCCCACAGGCTGTGTGTCATAGCCATGCTTTCACCAGTTGCTACTTGTAAGGCCTATCAATGATAATGGCCATGTCTTTTATCATAACTATCAGAACTATGGCTGGTTCTGCCTGTAGGGATAAAATTCCAAAGTAATTTAATAATATAGAATGAGTGTCTTTTATGTCAAGAAATACAGACCTCAAACATTTAAAATGTTTTTAAAGAATGTTGTGTTCCTAAATCTCTCCTAGAGCTCTAGTCCTGAACTTCTAGTCACCTGCTAAATATTTTCCTTTGGTGACTTAACTCCACATGTTTAAGCCCAAATTCCCTTCAAGTACCTTCTATGTCTTCCCCTCCTATCCCTTGAAAGTATCAGTTATACTTATATTTTCCTTTCAATTTTATGTCCCTTGGATATCTCATGTTGACATCAAACTGTATAGTCTAAACTTAAATTTCTATCATTTTCCATCACCTCTTCTCATTCCCCTTAACAGCTCTCCCCAAATAAAACAAAACAAAAAAACCTCACAACTGACTAAACCCTTTACCCCCAATCCTTCAGAAATCATTGACTTTCTCCTTTTCCTTGACATTCCATTATTTCTACCCTTCTACCCACAATCTGTACATATTTATTTGTATCTGGTCAGTCACCAAGGTCTGTTGGTTTTTCTTTGCAGTGTTACTTACCCTTTTTCTACTTTTTCTCCTCAGTTTTTAAATTCCCACTGCTACTTCTCTGATTTGCTTTTATTTTTTTTGATTTTCTGGTACAGGGATTGAACCCTGAACCTTGGTGTAATCAGTACCACGCTCTAACCAACTGATCTAATCAGCCAGTCTATCTCTCTGATTTATTTATTTATTTATTTATTTGGTGGCTGGCTGGTACAGTGATCTGAACCCATGACCTTGGTGTTACAAGGCTGGGTTCTAACTAACTGAGCTAACCAGCCAGCCCCCATCTCTCTAATTTAAACTTTTTCTATCTCATACCTGAGACACTGCAACAGGTTTATTTGTGATCTGCCTATCTTCTCCCCGTCCAGACTGTTTCCATTCTGCTCACCAACACAAAATTAAATGTCCAGAATGTCCCCTTACCATGTTATTCACTCACTCAACAATTCTCTCTTACCTTCAGGATACCTCCTTAATTTCAGATTTAACATCAGCCTATTAACAAAGGCTAACAATCTAGCCTTTGCTGGTCAGTGAAAAGACTCAAGCCTTTCTTGTCTGACCTACCTTGTTTACTTCATCTCTTCTACTGCCTCTTTTCTGGAATGTTTTCTCCCTCCCTCCCTCCCTCCCTCCCTCGTTTCCTCCTTCCTTCTTTTCTTCTTTCTCCCTTTTGTTGCTTCCCCCACTCCTGCTTGTCTTAGGAACTGTCTCATATTTCACCACTTTGAAGAGGACCTCTGAGTAGCCCTAACTAAAGTGAATTTTTCTAATTGTCAGCATACATTTATTAGCAGTAATAGTACTTTTTATTTATAAAGAACTTCTACTAAATTTTTTTATTTGTACCTCACCACAGTACCGTGGGGTTGGATTAGTTAGGAATTATTCCAATTGTATACATGGGAAAAAGCTCCAGCTCAGAGAGATTAAAGCCTCTTGGTCACCAACTAGAAGATGATAGAGCTAGAATTGAAGGCTTTGATGCCAATTATAGGGGGTACAGATCTTGGTGTTTTAGTAAATAATATATTCTTACCTGAAAATGCTTATAGTCTAGTTTGGGGGGACTGGATAGGCAGGCTTAAAACAATAATCTACAGTTACATTTCATTGTGATAGATACCAAAGGGCCCTCTTAAACTGGCCTCCATGGTAAGACCTATGTGTTCTTGAATGGACAGCACTTAGCCCATAGTGCTTCTTATAGAGAAAGAACTCAATAGATGTCTTTAAAATTTAATTCAGCAATATAATGATTAGTGCCATCAGCATTCACATTATATAATGCTAATGGTAGACACCCAGGAAAAAATGGTAAATGTATGATTACCATGAGTCTTAGCATTTATTCTATGATGCTCTCATAGCACATAGACTGTGAGATTGCAGTGACCAACAGGAGGAAAATCTACTTTCAGAGAAGTGAAAGAAGGGGACATATTTCTTTAGAAGAGATTTTTCTTTAGAAGAGATTTAACTTCCTTCTTGCCCTTGGTTAGTGACATAAAATTAACTTGAAGCCAGTGACCAAGGTAACTTTAGCTGAGAGTCCTAATGTGCATGGCTACTGCTACTTCATGATATAGTCTATGAAAGCTTCTTCCCAGGTTTTAAGGCACTAATTGCCCATATTTTATTGTTTCTCCATAGTTTAACCACAACTTTAGGCTTTTTATTACCCTTAGATGTAACTATTATATATAATCACACATCAGTTTAAAAAGGTAATTTCTTCATTTTCACTACATGTATTTGTTACACTAATGAGCAATAAGAAATTACCTTTTTCCTTTACTGGACTTGTAAACGGAGGCACAGAGAAATACAATTCCTTTGCCTAAGGCTGTTCAGAAGGGTGAGAGTAGACTGTGCTGACACTCCATGCCTAAAGAAGCTATTAAGTGCATCAGGTACTGTGCTTATCCAAGAATATTTGGCATTTTCATTCCTTGTTTAAAGATATATATATATATAAAATATACATTTATTTATTTATATATAAATAAAAGAAAGGAAGGGAAAGCAATTTTAGAAAGAAGCTGAAGTGATAACTAGTTTTGTTTTTCACTTCATGATCATACTCCTAGCAGTTTAGAAAAAGTTTTTTTTTTAAGCACACATTAAACTATCAAATGGGTTGATCCAAATTGTCCAAATAATCTTCTAGTCCCAGCATGTATTTTTTTCTCTCATAGAAATTAGGATCATATATTTGTAAATGACTTGTGGAGGAGATTGAAGCAGTCAGTGTAAATGGAGTTTCTCCAGGTGCTGATGCCTAATCGCTGGGTAATAGCTGTGGACTTGCTGTGAGACCTGCATTATTACAATGTAATCAGAATCCTGTTGCTCTGCCGTTATTGTCAGCCACTTGTGGAATTTTAAAAGCAATAACAATTTTGATTTTAAATCATGGCATTATTAAAGTTATTTTCTTCCCTTGCCAGAACATAGCTATTGATGCTTGTCTATGAAGGACTTGACTGTAGTGGAATTTTTTTTGGTGTCAGAAGAAATGTTTCTGTTTCTGGGCACACTGAGAGACTAAGACCCACCACACACCCTTTCTTTCAATACAGTTTTTTCTTATTGTGGTGTCAGCATTTGGTTATTGACACTAAGGGGTATGATGACAGTACAGATAATTTTTAAATATGGTTAAACCAAAATTTATTTATATTTGATCTAGGAATTTATTATTACAATTTGTGTATAGGAAAATTTATTTTTCTAGTTATGCTTTGCTTATGCTCTTAATAAAATTAATTTTATTACTCAGTAATATCATAGTAGAAATGGAGAAGCAGGAGGAAATGGCCCAGGAATGTGCTTCTTTATAAGGGGAAGCTAATTAGAATTAAAAATATATATACAGTATCATGAAAATTAAGAATTGACTTATGAACATATTTCTTGGTTAGCATTATAGCAAGGAATGTGATCAAATTAAAGTCTGGATGTAGATTGTGAAAGGCCACGTATTTTTTCTATTTGTACTATTCATATATTCTCTCAGGTCACTCAACTGATGGGATTGCATTTCTGCTTGTTGCCATGTGGCCCCTTGTTGTTAGGGACCTTTAAAAACATGTCTTACTTAATTCATTAATCTGTTTTTTTGTCTGTGCCTTCTGGAGTAAGTTAACAGTACAGGACAGAGGAGGGCTTAGCTCCGAAGGCCCAAGACTCACGTAAGAGACTATCTTAAAACTACTAATCTCTATTGACTTTTAATATAGTGCTTGCCTATGCCACGTGGAGATATGAATAATCCCTAAATTTAAAAGCCTGTTAAATGTTGCTTTTAACAATTTTTAAAGAGAAACTTAAAAAAAAAATACCTTGATGTAAAGTAGGGGGAACTGTTTTAGAAGAACTGTTTTAGAAGAAATGTTAGGATTTGTTAGATTGAATTCTAGGAATGCTGTATCTGACTGTAGGTAGTATGTATAATCTAAACAACAGTGTAGGGCCTGTATTTTCTGTTTTATAGAAAAGTAGGGGGAACTGTTTTAGAAGAACTGTTTTAGAAGAAATGTTAGGATTTGTTAGATTGAATAATAGGAATGCTGTATCTGACTGTAGGTAGTATGTATAATCTAAACAACAGTGTAGGGCCTGTATTTTCTGTTTTATAGAAAGTTTTTTCCTTTCCCTCTCACTGATTTTATTTAGCTTCTGTATCAATATTAATTTTTATATTTGAATACATGCCCAACGGTGTGGTTTTTATAAGCAGAACTTGCGTTAAGGTCTACCTTGATGTGAATCAGTTCTGAGTGAACTTAGGTGACCTCCTATGACCCTTTCTTCTCCATGAAGTTCTCTTTCAATTTTGTGCAGATCAATATTAAACCTATTTCACAGGACTTAGTCCCAGGAGCCAGATTGAGATTTGTTTATTTGTAAGTTTGAAGGTACTGAGCCAAGATGTAGATATCCAAAAAGGATGCTTAACCCAATGAGAGTCTTACGAGGACTGAACCAGGTAAAATTTAGGATGAATGGAGATCTCATCTATCTTCTGTTTTACTTTTGTTCACAGAAAGCTACCCTGGTTGAACATGGGATCCGGCGCCTTACTTTCTTGGTTGCACAAAAGGTATTAACATGTGAATTGTACCTCTCTAATATTTCTTAAGCTGCTGCTAGAAATTTTAAAACTAAAAATTGGAATTGCAATATAAATATAAATTTAATTCTATAAATTGAATTAAAAAACATTAGTAAATTCATTTTTAATTTTATTATTAATTGCCAGCTTCTGCTGTTTTTTCTTTCTGTTCTGTCTTTTATTTGGAAGGATTTCAGAAAACAGGTCAACTGTGAGGTGGATCAAAGATTTCATGTAAGTAAAAGAATCAATGAAAGATTACTTCCTTTTGTGTGTTTGCAACTGATTATTTAAACAGAAAGTGTGTGAGTTATTTAGAAAGGCTGGACTGATGTTTGGTCCCTCTTTTTTTAGAAAGTATTATAATGAATATTTAATTCTTCTATTGAGTATTCCAGCAAAAGATTTTTTCTTTTTTTACCCTATAATGAATTCTCAATATATCTCTGAGAAATAGTTAAGAATGGGTATATGCATTTATCCACATGAATAAGGTAGAAACAAGAGCTAAGTAATTTCTTCTATGCACATAGTGAATCAGTAATCAATAACTGTCAATTACATTTTGGTGTCTTCACTTCTACCAAAGATGGATTCAAGTTCTATTATTGAGAATTGTCAGTTCTAAAGAACAATGATTTATTGTTTAAAGTGCCTTAACTGAGCCCAAGTTGCTGTTTTTGTCCTATGTTAATTCTAGGAGCAAGAAATAAATAAAAATTAAGTATTCCGTTGCTTGCCCTCCCATTTAACTAACTGTTAATATTTATGAGATTAAAATTTTTGTTGAAAAAATTAAGTTAGTACCTTGGCATCTGAACTATGGTATACCCAATGATCATACCCAGTATAATGACAGCAGGAAGGCCAGAAATCCACTTTGCAGTCAAGATGTCATTCTCAAAATGACCAATTGTAGTCAAATATGTCATTAAAGAATTGATTCTAATGTAGCTAAGTAGGATTCCAGGGAATGTTGGGAAGTCTTAATTTTCCTGATAAAGATTTTGTTATGTTTTGTTTTAGCAATTAAGATAATTGTTAGTTTTCAAGCCTTGTTCATTTGCAATAATGAAGGTAACATCTGGGTTTTGAAAAGGACTTTCTAAACTTAAGGACTTGTGTGTGACTGCCTTTATTGCTCTTTTGTTTATTAGGTCTCTAGCACTTGGCATTTTGTTTTCCTTCATACACTTCACCTTGTTGGTCTAGTATATAGAGAAACAAGAGCGCCTACCCTGCAAGCTAAAGAGCTAAGATTTTCTGAAATGCTTTAGGAAATGTTGTGGACTATATAACTCCCCTGTGTTATTGATGTCAGGAAATCAAGCAAAGTGTAGATATATATCAATCAATAACTTTAGATAGGAAAGTAGAGTCAATGGAGAAGTATGAGGAGCTTAAGGAGAACCCTGGGGCTTTAGGAAGAAAAATCAGTAGCTTAGAGAATAAAATTGATACTTGGGGATAGAATTTGAGAGCCTGTGAATAAACACTGTGAACGGTAGATGCTGATCTGAACTAAGGTAGACATGACAGAACCAGGTCCTGGATTTTGGAAGAGTATCGGGCTAGGTTCTTAAATGTTAGTGTACTTTTTCTTTTTGTCACTGACTTTGGAATAATAGCATATTATTCTGAAGAATAACACTAAATTTGTAAAATTGTTTTTCTTTTTGCTAGTGATTCAGATGGAGTCTTCACATCTATAGCACACTAACTGCTTTTCTATTATAAGCAGTCCATGATCAATTAAAACTGTCCACTAAAATGTTTAAAAAGCCAAAGAAATTAATTCTCACTGACATTTTTTGTATGTGTAAAACAAAACCCTTTCTTATCTCTAAATCTATGTCATGTCCTAGAGTATATCTAATGGCTTTTAAAACATTTTCTTTCTGCCCTCCTGATATTTCTGATATTTCTGCTCTCCTGATATTTAGTTTGAATAGGGATATGTATAGGTAAAATCTGCTAGGAAATTAGGTCAGCAGGGGGTCTTCCCTGGCAGTTATTGTCCAGTTCCTATTTATAGTGACATCAGGTGGGAAATAGGTTAAATTATCAGAGTGACTTGATTTGTCATGAGTGTAGGAAAGGCTGCTTTAGAGTATAGAGTACGTTAAGGTTTAGGTGTGAACTAGATTTGCTCTGAAAAATTGAATGGCAGAGGAGTGGGGTCTTCTCATGTTAGGCTCCTTAGAAATGATTAGTGTTTTCACAGGGGGCAAGGGCAACTATTACTGAACTCCATCCAGGATCTACAATAGCCAGGAAGCCTTGGCGGGTATTGTACAAATCCAGGGCTCACTGTCATGGTGCTGCTGTGAGTTCTTCTGCTGGTGGTAGCTTGCCATTCATGAGGGATACTTACCCTCTGTCATGTCATGTAATGCGTGCCTGCCCCATAGTGTAGTGTGAAAAAGAGGAAGCTTTCCGGGAGTGTTAGAGATGAATCCCTTGATCTCTGTGGCTTCTTGGTAATCCACTGTGATGTATGCAGCCTCCCCTGCTCTGCACTGTGAAATCCCTATATTACTGAATAGAAGACACCATGTGCACATGAGGGGGCCAGGACAGAAGGAAGGTTAGTTACCAAGTTTGGTTCAAGAACAACATTGGTTGGTGTGGAATGAAGCAAGTTGTCCTGTTACATTGTCTTTGTCCTTCAGACTGCCTCAGAACCAGAGCAAGGCAAATGATGACCAGACAGAATAAAGATTCCTAGAGAGTATATATATTGTTAGGTGTTTACTAAAATGCCAGAGAAGGCTATAAGCATTTCCAGCACTTCATTGTTTAACCATCATAGTCCCCAGAAAGCTGTCCACAGGTATGTCTGCTGCTGCCTTAGACTCTTCGCTCTACGTGGAGATTCCTGTTCTGAGACAGCAGTATTCACCAGTGTTAAGGAGGCTTGGTGTTGCATCTGTTTCCATAACCACCTAATTAAATCAAGTATCCAAATTGGGACTTGAATAACTGCTTAACATTGACAGTTAAACAGAAAGCTTGAGGAAAAACTTGTCTATCCTTGTAAATTTATTCTTCGTATTAAAAAAGCAAAAAAAGCCTTAAAAGCAGAAGAGGCTTCTAGACTTTCTGCAGCTATTTAAGCTGCAGTTCTACAGTTTTATGTTAGTTAGAACTCACTAACTCACTTTTAGGTTCATCACATTTCAGTTCTGGAATTCCAGAAAATTCTGTCTAACTGGAATAAGAGTATTATGCTTTTTTTGAAGCTCTCCATATTTTTGTCAGTCAAGTTTTGTTAAGGATACTAAAATGCATATTTTCAGGATTTCTTCTTATTTTTTGCCTCCCAAACAAAAGCATTACGTTTAAAACCTGTGATGAGATTCTAAATTAAACAGTTTTGTATCTGTTAATAAAATGTTTCCTTTTTTGGGCCGGCCCGGTGGCGCACTGCTACAGTGCGCCGCTTGGGAGTGCGGCGGCGCTCCCGCTGAGGGTTCAGATCCCACATACAGACCGGCCGCTCACTGGCTGAGCGAGGTGCGGGCGCAACACCGAGGGTTGCGATCCCGTTGCCGGTCCCGGTACGGTACGGGCGCGACACCAAGGGTTGCGATCCGTTGCCGGTCACGAAAAAAGACAAAAAGGAAAAGAAAAAATGTTTCCTTTTGTTTCTTGCTTATAAGACTTTATGAGATTTTTAAAAATTGCTACATATCTCCCAAGAGATGGTTGTAGTTTTATGATTGTTGTGGGTGACTCCCACTTTAAAATTAAATGTTTTGGATTATTTCGGCTTTGAAGGAAGAGTTTGGTATCATGAAGAGTTATCATGATTAGTAGTTCATTTCTTTAAAAAAAAAAAGTAGTTGTGTTTGCTAGAGGACCAACTGTTAAGTTTTCAGAAGGTTTGGTTAGGTTTTTGTTTTAATTACAGACTATATAATTACTTCTCAGCATGTTGAGGTAAAAGAGAATTGCACCAGCAAGCTCCCAATTTCTTCATCTCATTAGGTTTTTAACACGATTATTAGTATCATAATCAGCTATGATGTTTTCTGTTGCAGGTTTTCACATTCTCTGATTTGCAGGGTGTCTTGATTGGCTAATTTAGGCAAATTATTTTGATTGTCTTGATGATGGTTGGCTGATTAGAACACAGCAGGAGTATAATTTCTCGCTGAGAAATGTTGCATTCTTTTGTTTTTTGGTACCAGAACACTAAGAGTGTTTTTCCTTGTATACATTCAGTTATGATATTTGCCCATAACAATAGTAGAATGCCTGGAAAGCAATTACTTTACTGATGGAATAAGCATGAATGCTGTTAGTGGAAAAATTAGGAGGATGAGGATGGGGTGAGGATGAGATGAAGGAATTTACTAAAACCATTGGATCAGACTTTTGGATGTCTTCTTTTTTGTGTTTTCTGTACTTCTGTGGTTTTTCAGTGCCAAAAGAGTTGACTTTCTATAAAACTATTCAGACTTACAAGTCTTCCAAAGAATTGCTTCATAGTCCTGCTTTCTCATTACAGAGGAGTTCTTGCTGTTTCCTGTTCTGAATGTTTAATGCTTACATTGAGGCTTTTAATGTGGATCTAAAAATTTACTCAGAAGTTTAAAGGAAAAGAATGTTTGCTTATATCATCTCATGACACCATTTCTTAGCTAACCTTAATGAAAGTTTTTGTAATTGGTAGTCATTGTCCACATCTACCAAGAATTAGTCAGACTCTCATTATTTGTAATAAAAATATTGCCATTCAGACTGTTTGCTTTCCATGCCTTTTAGTTACTACAATTTTTCCTAATTGGTTTAGTGGAAAAGAAAGTGTTTTTTGGTTACTGTTGTTTTGTTTTTGAAGGAAAATGGTTTTGATCCTACAAATGTACATAATTGAATAAATGGTATATTAAATAAATATTTTAATTAATTCGTTTATAATAGCTTAGATAGAATAGAAAATTGTGTGCTTAAAAGATTGTATTATCATTTTTCTTGACTTTTCTTTCAGAGAATTCCATGGAAAGATTTAGTTTCCCTTCCTTTTTTTGACATGTGACTTTTTAGGTAATACTCTGAAAGCCATACCTCTACAGAATAAAACTAAAACTAGATTATAAAAAGCCATGAGCATGAAGTCTGACAACTCAGCTGAACATCTTCTTACTTAACCTTGAAGTAACCCCCATGTCATTCACTGTCATTACATGGGGGCGGGGGTGTGAGAGAATTTTGCAGAACAAAACATCATTAGTAAACTATCGGGTTTGTATAAAATCCACTTTCAAAGGGCTTTTAAAGACCCAAGACTGGATGAGGGATTTCCCCAGGCTTGGTAAATGAGCTCCTGGAAGCCTGTTAAATGCAGTTTTACAGTTAAAACACCAAGAAAAATGAAAAAAAAAAAAAAATTAACGGTGCAAGCTGTAGTTAAGGTGACAGTGAAGCATAATACATGTGGAAAGTATTCAAGAAATTTTCAGTAAATTCAAGAGCCACAAGGTTTCAGCATGAGTTTTGCTTTGTTCGTTTGTTTTCTCTAAAGTCTTAATTTTGGGGTTTTTTTCCCTCATCAAAGAGAAGTCCTCTAAATAGGGAATTTGGATTATATCAAGAATAGAATGGTAATGCCCTGCACTTGGGAGATGAAAGGACATGGGCTCTGGCATGGAGAGATCCAACTTTATTTTCTGGCTCTGTGATCCTGGGCATATCACTTGAGCCAAGGCTTCCTGATCTGTAAAATGGAGGTTGTTGAGAGCGTTTGATGGGATAACACATAAGAATGCCTGCCACCTAGATTTTTCACTAGAAGATTTTCCCATGTTTCCTTCATACTTCCTAAAGCTCATTGAAGGATATGTAGGCAGCTAGTCCTGTTGTCTCTGCCTTGTACCAGTAAGTGTTTGATTATATTGCACTCATAATGAAGATGATGCCTAATGAAACTTCCTATAAAGGCAAATAGTAATGACTACTGCCAGTAGAGCTTCCCATCCAAGAAACAGGGGTATTTGGTGTTAATAAGTTAAATTTCAGAAACTAATGAACTCTGCTAATTGAATTCATCATTCTTAATTAATAAGGTTCTAGTGAATTGGTTGCTTTCTTGTGTAATGCCCTGCAAATGAGCAGTAAGACCTAATGATTACAAGTTCTCTAGTTTCACCCCATTCTTACCTATACATAGTGGTAGTGACCAAAGTAGCATCTTGTACTTTTGTCTTGAAATGTTATCATTTAAATCCTTGAAATTATTGACTTGAGAATGAATGTGAAAAAAAAATGAACTGAGGATTCTATGCTGTCTGGCTAGTTTACATTTTAAGAGTTTCTTAAGGACAAACTTGGGAAATTGGTAATTAGTACCACTGTGATGGCTGCAGCATAAGGGAATCTTGGTTTTATTTTTGAGACTGTGCCAAGAGCAACCCCTAGGAAGATTTTTTTTTTTCACTGGGGAGATGAAAAAATTTGGATGTTTTTTCCTGGGAGAGGTTAGATACTAAAGTTAGGTTAATAGTATTGTGATTCTCAAATTTGGAAGCAGGGTCAAAGTTACAGTTACCCAGAGGATCATTCATATTCCCTGGACTAAGATTAGGTAAGGAGCATGTTTTCTTCGAAACTGTCTTCTAAATGCCTGACTGCTTCTATACTATGTGTGTCTCCAAAGACCCATATCTGTGAAGGACTGACACATGTTCCTCCCTTCTTTAACACAGAGAGAATTCCCTAAATTTTTCACGTTCCGAGCAAGGGATAAGGTAAGGACTGATACCTTCCCTAAACTTCTTTAAATCTTAATTTTTTTCTTAAAAGCCCAAGAGCGGCTGGCTCACTTTGCCATGTGCTCTTCAGGCCATTATTCTTTCTCTGATTGAACTGTGCTTCCCTTTGCCTCACATGTGCCTTCAAACTAAAGCAGACTCCCTCTGAATGAGTTTGATTTTAGGAAACAGTCAAATACGTAGAACTACACAAAGAAGGCGATCATTTTCAAAATCATCTCTGTCCTTTAGAACAATTCTAATGACGTGATATTATAGGACTACTAGACTTAGTAGGGTTATTCTCACCACTTACAGACAGTTCATTTATATTCTTCTTTGTGTATGTTTTTTAATTTTAAAGTATAAAATTCCAGACTGTGTTGGTTTCTTTCTGTTACCAGTTTATGTTTTTGGCTCTCTATTTCCGTTCATTCAAATGAGATGTTCTCCGGAAAAACAATTTAGTTTCAGCAAAACATACAGTAAATGTATGAATACAACTTTTAAAAAAAGATATACAAATAATTGTATATATAAATAAGTAATATATATGGGTATAGTATGTTCCAAAGCCAACTATCTTTTTTTAAAAAATGCTGGCTATTTATTGAGTATTTATTATGTCTTTTTTATTGTGTCATAAGTGATAAGACATGGGTCCTGCCCTTAAGCATTTTAGACTCTTTTTTTTTTTTTTTGTCCTTTTTGAGACTGGCCGCACCGCGCTCAGCCAGTGAGCGCACCGGCCATCCCTATATAGGATCCGAACCTGTGTCAGGAGTGCTACTGTGCTCCCAGCGCTGCACTCTCCCGAGTGCGCCACGGGCTCGGCCCAGCATTTTAGACTCTTTAGGTAAACCCAAAACATTGTCATGTAAAGTAGTTATTAATGTGAAACAGTCTGTGGTTAATTGTAAAAAACAAATTATGAGGACCTTAAAAGCTACAGGAGTTCTAAGGGAATTGAGGGTTTTTCTTTATTCGTTTCTTTGTTTTGAATAGAGAGGATCACCACTTGTAAAAACATAAATGATGAAAGTTTGAGAGGTGAATAGGTTCTTTTTTTTTTTTTTTGTCTTTTATTTTTTTCCGTGTCCGGCAACGGATCGCAACCCTCAGTGTTGCCCCCGTACCGGACCGGGGACCGGCAACGGGATTGCAACCCTCGGTGCTGCTCCCGCGCCTCGCTCAGCCAGTGAGCGGGAACCGGTCTGTATGTGGGATCCAAACCCTCGGGCGGGAGCGCCTCCATGCTTCCCAAGCGGCGCACTTATCCAGTGCGCCACCGGGCCGGCCCGTGAATAGGTTCTTTAGGGCCTAATCTTTCATTAGTTATAGCATTAGTCTTGTATGTAGCTCATTTTTTTGCTCATTAGCACATCACAGCTATGTTTCTATTTTTAAGCATCTCTTTTACATACACATTCGTAATATAATTTTGTAACTGCCTCTTTTGAGCTGTTTTTTCTCTGATTCTTGTGCCTAGTTTGAGGAGGATCGTATCTATCGTCACCTGGAGCCTGCTCTGGCTTTCCAGTTAGAGTTGAACCGGATGAGAAATTTTGACCTCACTGCCATTCCATGTGCTAATCATAAGATGCACCTGTATCTTGGGGCAGCCAAGGTGGAAGTGGGCACAGAAGTGACAGACTACAGGTTCTTTGTTCGTGCAATCATCAGACATTCTGATCTGGTCACCAAGGTGGGTGCCATACTTTAATAAGAAGTTACCCCTGAGGGAAGGGACAGAGAAATAGGCATCATTCAAAATCGGGTTTCTGTTTTTTGAGTCAAGGCTCTTGTTCTCTTTCATCCCACTCTCCAATAACCAGCAGAAGCCTGAGAGTCATTTTTCTTACAAAAGTAAATATTCCATATAATAAAGGTTTTTGTTCTCCCTTGAATGTGATTTTTCTTGGTAATGGAAGCATGACAGCACTCACTTGAGAAAAGGAAAAGCATGCTAACAGAAAAATCACAGGGAGAGCTGGGTGATGATAGAGGATAAGGAGAAAAGTTAGGAAAGAGGTGACCCCATTGTAAACCTGTCTAGAGGTATGGGTGGTGTTTGAATATAGCAAGGTACTTCCTGGGGTATTAGTTACTATTGCATACTATAGCCATAACCTTTCTTCAGTTTTTCATTTCTAAACAGATTTTCTTTCTAAACAGCTCTGTTTGGCATATGTGAAATATGAAGGGTCTTCAGAAACTTCATGGAAGGATTCGTATTATCTTTTAATTCCATTTTTCCACATTTTTTTGAAGTACCCTTGTATAATCCTATTGAGGTTACAGCTCTGGGAATGTCCAGTGTCTCCACCTATTAGGAAGGAAATAATGTTCTCAGAGGCAGGAGAAAGGGCTGGCAGGGACTCTTCAGCTGACCCTTGCCTGCCTCTGCTTCCTGTGGTTATTGGACTGACTCTAGGGAGAAAGGTAAACAGTGTCTTCACCAGGTGCCTTATGATTCATGACATACTGATGCTTAAGTAATTATAATAGCTATTTCTTTATTGCCTCTTTTGAAACACATTAATGTTGGTGATTTCCTTCCTGCATAGGAAGCTTCTTTTGAATATCTACAAAATGAAGGGGAGCGGCTGCTCCTGGAAGCCATGGATGAATTAGAAGTTGCTTTTAACAATACAAATGTCCGCACTGATTGTAACCACATCTTCCTCAACTTTGTACCCACAGTCATCATGGACCCATCAAAGGTACATTTCTCCCTAGCTTCTCTCCCAGCACTAGCAAGTACAAACAAAGAGATTCATTCATTTTTATTTCACTTGGACTTGGAAAGAAGTACTCTTATTCAATTCGTTGAGCACCTAATCTATTTAAAGTTTATAGAGGGCAGGCTGGTTAGAGCACAATGTTATAATACCAAGCTCAAGGGTTTGGATCCCCATACTGCCCCGCCACCAAAACAAAACAAAACAAAACAAATAAACTTTATAGAATACTTGTGAGCCTGAGTTTCTGAGACTGTCAAAGATTTGATATAGCCATTGAAAACAGACCTCAAAACTGAAGGTGGTCTGGTGTTAGCCTGATGGCCATTTATAAGCAGTACAAAAACATAAAAACTTTCTCTTCCTCCCATGGTACCTGTTTTATGATATTGGTCCTGTTTTACATTATTCTCTTGGATTTCTCATCTGGAATAATTTTGCTTTTCTTAAGCATTTTGACTAAAATACTGCTTCTGTGCACTAAATATTACTTACCTGATGGCCTTAGCAAGATAATGTACCTTTCCAAACCTATTTCTCTTTAATATTTTTCACAAGGAGAGAATTTGGCTGATAAGGAATTTCACTTGTATTATGTATATTTTCTTCCCTGAGGCTCTATTCTAAATGCATTCTCTGTAATTTAAAGAAGGAAAACAAGGTGATTCTGTACTTGACTTGTTATCCCAGAGGTAATAAAGACAGACTACTCTCTGCTCCTGCCCCCTCTAACTCTTTCTATCATAATATTGTGGAATTTGGATAGGAGAACCAGTATCTTCCTTTCTCAAGATCAATTGTTAGGTATGGACTTTTGCTTTTTGAACTTTGTATCAAAGACCTGAGGAATAGTTTTCTACTTTTTTTCTTTAAGACTCCAAGCTAGTGATGGATTGCTTTTGTCTGTCAGGAAAGCCAAGAACAGGGCTACTCATTGAATCTTAAATTTTATTATCTAGTTTTAGCAAAACTTCTAAGCATTCTGGGACTGATGAAGCTGGAAGACTTAAAACATGGCCTGGACACTGTATATGCAACTATATATTTTCAGATTTAGCTTACCTTTTCTCAATGAGTTTTTGACATCAGCCTCTCTGCTTCCACTCTAAACACCCATATGTCCTGGCTCTGCTTTTCTAATCATAGATAGCTGTCAATTTTCAGTACATAGACATTGTTGATTTTTGTTCCCTCACGAAAAGAATGGATAAATATCTCTTAGTTAACAAGCACGTGTGGGAATAGAGAAGTTAACTCCTTGAAACATTCTAACTTAAAATTCTGTGGTGCAGATACAAACTGCAAGGATGGCACATACTACTGACGATCCACAGGTGGTATATTTTTGAGATTTTTCTAAGAAGTTGAGAAAGCATTTTAGAAAGATACTTCATTTAAGAAAATGTTAGTTTTTGAATAGTGTGTCCTAGCTATCTACAGCCTTACTGGGGAAAAAAAAGTTTCAGTTTAGCATGTTGATAATGAAAAATCATGTCTAAGGCCATTTAGTTAAAATAATTCTTCTAACCCTGAAAACTCAGAGCACTAAGCTGCCTTCGTATAAAGTTCAGAGGAACACCTGCTCTATCTCCTTAAGTCTCTGTTGGACTTGGCATTGACCAAGCTTCAGAGCTCTGTTTAGAGAGAATGTTCTAGCACCACCTACAAAGTGTATTTCTTTAATTTGTACAATTTACCAAGAGACATATATTATAAAGTCTAATAAAACTGTATGGAGAAAAGCTCATGGTGGTAATTGCTATGTTGATTTAAGGTCCTATAAGTGCAGTGAAACATAGTTACCATGCATATAAATGCCACTTAATAGCTATTTAACTGGAAATTTTATTCTTATTGAGGGCTTTCTCTTAAATTCCATGGCTTATAATTTTAGATACTGCAGATCTTTGATATACAGAATGAATATAATTGGTAAAGGGGAAGGAGTTACACAGATTTGGTGTTGTGAGCAAGAGAAAACCACTCAAATGCCAGGCCAGCATGAAATTGTCCCTGACTTGTTCTAAGTGACAGTAGACTTGGGGAGAAACTATCTGACCACTTTTTGTAAGGAGTATATGTAGCGTACATCTTCACAAACCAGCATCTTTTTTTCCATTCCTCTTTTCCCAAAGATGGGAAGATCTGAAACAGGTCTTAGTTACAAGGTGTTTAAGTTTTATGCTTGGTGATATGTCTGTGTCAGATTGAGGAATCTGTGCGGAGCATGGTAATGCGCTATGGAAGTCGGCTGTGGAAATTGCGCGTCCTCCAGGCAGAACTGAAAATCAACATTCGCCTGACACCAACTGGAAAAGCAATTCCCATCCGCCTCTTCCTGACAAACGAGTCTGGCTATTACTTGGACATCAGCCTATACAAGGAAGTAACTGATTCCAGGACAGCACAGGTACAGTAGTCAATCAGGCTCCTCAGAGTTTTGATTTGGTCCTACAGATAAGCCACTTATCCTTGTTATGGAAGACCCAAACTAACAAATCCCATTGGTTCACCTAGTGGGGTTATCCTCTCTTAGCTTAAATGGTGGTTTGAATTTGAAAAACTTCATTTCCCGTATAAGCTGTGTCTGTGTTCTCAATCATGGATTTTATAAGACCCATACTTTTTGTCACATATTGGGGAGCACTAACAGATGCTAAGTGAATCTCACTCCAGAGGTAATTCTGCAATTTAGGACTCTTTCTGAAGGACTTTTGGGCTATACCAGCAATCTAGTCTTCTCTAGTCTAGTTTGTTCTTCCTATTTTCAGCAAAGATAGATCACTCATTGGCAAGTAAAGAAAGGAGAATAGTAAAATGTCACCAATTTCTGTCTTAAAGAAGGAAAATTTCAACATAGTATAATAACATGAGCAGTATCAAGCAGTGACTTTATCATATTCATCCATATGTTACTCCATTTATATACATCCTCTTTCTTTGGAAGAGTTCAGGGTGTTGTATATCTATACAAGACCAAAGTGGCAAACTTTAACCCATTTTTCAGGTACAAAAATTGGGAAAGTAAAAATGGAAAGTGACTCAGTAGACCGATTCTGTGATTAAAAAAATAGTCCCTCTTAATCTGTTTTACCACCTTAGTTTCTAAATATTTTGGCCATTTACTTGATACTGGATATTGCTCACATCTTTTTAAGAACTGGGCTATTATTTTAGGGCTTTGGCCTGAATTTGGGAAGTGCATTCCTTCTGATTAAAAAGGTGAACTTGCTCTAGTATACATTAATAAGTATTTCAGTCTGTTCTATGCATTGGGTGGAAGGAATACATTATAAGTATCTTGATCTCATCTATGTCCTTTTAAATCTGGGAATAGAGGTAGGAAAAGACAGTCTTTTGAAGATGTATTTTAAAAATCTCAGTTTGAACAGTTATTAGAGTGACCTTTCATTTTGTGCTTTGATTCCCAGTTAGATGGCCAGAGAAATCCATCCTGTGAGAAGTGAGCAGTTAAAACAGAGAGAGTGCGTAAGAGCACAAGGGGCAAGCAAGAAAAAAAGTATTCAGTATTTTTGCTGTGTTTGATGTTTTTCAGGACAACCTTAAAAACATTTTCAGTCATAGCTTTCCATGGGCAGGGATGTTTTTTAATTAACTTCTACAATGGCTTCAAGGCAGGTCTATTCTTGTGAAAAATAAGATGGCCACTTGAGATTTTAATGTTTTTGATAAATATGTTTGTTCTTCATAACTACTTTCTTTTTTTTCCCCCTCCTTTTATTGGAAAACCCTTAGATTTCCCTCATGCTGATGAGTGGTGGCACAGGGGCTTGAAAGGTACAGGTGCCTTCCATCAAAGTTTAGTACTGTCCCTGGCACAAAATAACACTGAATAAGTATTTGAAAGAATGAATGAACCACCTTCTGCTTGATGGGGAACTCTTTTACCAAGGAGTCCTGAAGGAAGAGGTCTATTCACTCATTTATTCATTAATTTAACATTTATTGACCACTTATAGTGTGTCAGGCACTATGGATACAATGGATGAAGACAGATAAATAATTTGTTTCTCCATGCTATAATATATGCTACCATAAAACAAATATGGTGTACTAAGAGAGCAGACTGTGGGTCAGAGATTGTTTTCTTTTTTTTTTTTTTTTCCTTTTTGTCTTTTTTCGTGACCGGCAATGGATCGCAATCCTCAGTGTCGCCCCCGTACCGGACCGGGACCGGCAATGGGATCGCAACCCTCGGTGTTGCTCCCGCACCTTGCTCAGCCAGTGAGCGGCCGGTCTGTATGTGGGATCCGAACCCTCGGCGGGAGCGCCACCGCGTTTCCCAAGCGGCGCACTGTAGCCATGCGCCACCGGGCCGGCCCAGAGATTGTTTTCTAAGAGAAGCCCTTTTGATGGTTTCTGGAGAAAGGTGTGTGATATATAAATTATGTACCTATTTTCATGAACTTATAAAACAT